TAATTCACTCTAATATATTTTGCTCCACACCAAACTAAAGGTTCCAAAAATGAATACTAAAGTGCATCACTAATTTAAATAACCTTTAATAGAGGCGATGCAATTGCTAAAAAGTAATTACAATCATTAATATGTCTAAATATATATTTGAAAATGTCTAGGAAGAAGCTCTAATCTGCATGAGTGGCTACACTCAAACCATTATACCATTGCAACACCATTCTTTAGAAAATGTGAGAAACTTGTATAAATGTTAGATGTCATCCTAAGAATCATAGGTTGTAATTACCGTAAAGTGATTGAACTAATGGTATACATTATCTCCATGACATGATCCTTATGAAATAACTTTAGTTAGATGTGAGGATTGGCAACAAGAGAAAGAAAAAACTACATTACACATCATAAATGTTATTATTAATTGAGTTTGATTGTTCAATTGCAACCAAATAACAACAAGTAATTGCACCAATTATTGCTCTAGAGTTAAAGAAGGAAGTTGCTACTTTGCCATAAAACTGAAAAAAAAAAGAAAAAAAAATTACAAAAAAATAGAGATCTAAACAATAAAAAAGTTAGATCTCAAACACTCCTCAAGGGTAATTAAATATACTTTTCTTTTCCAATAATGTCAGTGTATAGATATTATTGATGATTGTTCCTATTTATAGTTTGCCCCCCTCCACTCTAAAAACATATTGCAAAGAATATATTGATGCAAATAATATATACAATTACTATAATGTGAACTTTATGACTATTTCGGAGATATATCCAAGTATTATTATGCATTTCTAGATAAAGGATTCTCAATTCTCATGGATTTTTTCTAATCCTTAAACTACTAAGTAGATGAAAAATATAAAGTATACTCTATCAATTTACAAACCTTCGTGAGAAATGTGATACTCAAGATAGATTATATCTTTCAATACAAACATGCACTTCAATTGTTTTAGCTTCAAATCAGCTTTTTGCAATTGATCTAACATTTTATGGACATTATAAATGTGCTCCCCCCACATCCCCTTCAAGTGGATCAAGACACCATGAATAAACTTAGTAAACACCTCTCATATTGCAAAAAATTTTATTTGTCATTCATTAAAAAGTTGTTAAAGCATTGTTTAAACTTAATATCATTACTAATAATTTGTACAAACTAAATAATATATAGAAAGTAGTATTGAAAACATCTTTCTCAACCATTAGCACTTGTTACTATCTAAAAGCAAGATTTAACTTGGTGAACTAACAACTTTTCCTCAAATAAATGCATGCAAATTTTATTATATATCAACCACTAGATGCTAGAATAAACTAGAATAAACTAAAAAGTGTCTAGGAAGGTTTATAAGCTATGGAAATGTTTATAAGTTATAAATACAAAATTAATTTGAAGGAATAACAACTGTTAAATGGTAAAATATTTTAGAATATTTAGGTATATCCACTAACACCCCAATAAAAAATTGTTGCATTTATAAATGGTAATCTAAGTTTTAAAAGAATCTATATTTTTACCTTCCTTACCATGATTCTGAAAAATTTGTAACTATTTGAAATTCCTAC